GAGGGTGGGCGCTTCGCGCCATGCGCTAAGAAAACAATGCCTGGATCGAGCTCGTCGGGGCAGCGTTGCAACCATTGCAAATCTGGGGTCAATTGTTAGGGGGGAGTGGGGGATGTGTGGCTTATCGGCTCAGTTGCAATAGGTTTTGCACAAGTTATCGTTTCAGTTGTGGAGGGGCAATGGGCAAGTCCCGCAAGACGATCGCGATGGATGCCCAGGCTCGCCAGGACTGGAAGGAGGACAAACATGTCAGGCTGACCAACGCTAACATCACCAAGGTAGCGTGCAAGGCCGAGTTCTTGTGTGCATCGAAGAAGGTGGCCCCGTGTGTGAAAACACGTTAAACACTCATTGCAATGACATTAGCCGCCGCACTAGAAATTGCAATTTCATTTGAATTTGGTGGCATTGAATGCCTGTGCCCTGTATATGTGTGTTTTGTTTTAGCGCACGATTCCCAGGTTCTCGAGAAGTTCAAGAATTTCGAGGCAGCCAAGAAGAAGATGGAGGAGGCCAAGAGCGAGTGGATGGAGTCGATCGGTGATCGCATCGATGCCCACGCTGAGTGGGAGAACGCGTGCGAGCAGCACGCGAGCATCAAATCAGAGCGCATGCCGCGCTGATGGGGCCGTGTCGGGCGAGGCTTCGCAAGTGCGATGATGTGTTCAGATTCGCAATGGCCCACGTCAAATGATCAGTGGTCACGCCAATCATGCCTTACATCTGATTAGCATGCCGAGCAAGGGGGTGGACCCATCCAAGTCAGTGTTTGTCAAGCTGCGCCCAGCCGTGGCGACGATGATGGCTGACCCCCCCCCGCCCCCCGAGAGGACTACCACCCCCCCGAGAGGACTACCAACCCTCGCGCTGTTGGTTTGTTCGACACCCCTGTTGACCTTTGCCTCATCGCCAAGCGTGCACGCGTCATCGTCGTGGGCTCCGTAACCAGTTTGGCTCAAACAGTTTTGCGAACTTACATATCGCTTTCTGCTGCGTAGCAGCAATGACGTCGATACGCGATGTGCCGGCCGAGCTCAATCATATGATTGATTGGCATCATGCCCAAGTCGGCTGCGGACTCGACGCAAAGACATGCGCCGACAACCAGATGCAGTCGCTGTTGTCGAGAGTGCGATCCTTCGGAACGATCAGCACTGACGACGCTACGCTCTTGGTGGGCACAATTCGGGACAATGCGCTCCCAGACTGGTCCCCTGATCAGATTGCAGAAATCTGCACGGCGGTAGGGCAGAAGACGGGCGTGCTGACCAGCACCGCAGATAAGAAGTGGCAGAAGGTAACTGCATTCTCGCGCTTCCTTTCGGCGTCTGAGGCGACCAAGTTAAAGAGCGGCGACATGTCGCAGAAGGCGATGATCGCCATGGCGTGCAAGAGGGCCCATGCGATCGGCATGTGCACTCTGTCCGAGGGGAGCAAGGGTCAACTCACAGCGGTGGTATCGTCCCAACTCACTGGCGTTACCAACGACATGTGGCACGACATCCTGGTGCAGGTCAAGCTGAAGCTGGCTGCCATGAAGGCACGAGACTGGAAACACAGAACTATATGGGAATACGATTCTCCAGACTCCCTCGAGAGCGAATCGTGGTACTATACCGCGTACCCCGAGGGAGACCCGCCACGCGGGCAGGACTGGTACATCGACGAGCCCGACTTCGTGCGACTGAGCAGTCGCTTGATGAAGGGCGGCAAGCAAGCGGCCAAGCAAGTGCGGGACGACCGCCCCGCCCCGCCGCCGCCGACCGGCCCGCCTCCCGCCATTTGCGACTTCGGCGCCTACCAATCCATGTACGGGACGATGAACGCGTACCATATGTACGCTCATCCAGGAATGGTGCCTCCGCCAGGGATGGTGCCTGGCCAATCGTCACACTCTTGGTCGCCCCCGCCAGGGATGATGCCGAAGCCCAAAGCGCCACCGCAAGATGCGCCCTCACCACAGGAGGCGCCCCCGCCTGCGGCCCCACCAGCCGCGGGAGGAATGCCCGCCCCGCTCGGCGACTTATCTGATGAGGAGGCAGCGCTTCGCAAGACAATGCGCAAGCGTAAGGAGGCCGTGGCCCTGAGTAAACGTCCAGCAGCTGCTGGGGGCGATGCCGATGGCGTCGAGGGCGCCGACGACGATGGCGACGAACTCGCCGACGAGGAGGGGGGGCCGCCGAAGAAGGTCATGAAGGGCGCCCCGCCGAAGAAGGCCATGCAGGTGGTCATGCGGAGGCCCTCGGCGAAGCCGAGGCCCACGGCGAAGCCGAAGCCGCTGCCCAAGGCCCCGCTGACGGGGGCCCCGAAGATCGAGTACCGCGCGGGGTATATACTCACGCAGCCAGACAAGTCCCAGTACAGGGCTGTCCTGGAGCGGTCCGACAGGCGCATCCGCTGGGACACGGGCAGCACGCGCCAGGAGGCTTTCACCAAGGCGATGAAGTTCATAGACGAGCGCTCGTAGCCGCTTGTCTGCTCTGCTCATCGCCGATCGCGACTTCTCGCGATTTGTTTCGCTGTGCTATAACGCTTGTGTGCATTGTTCATGTATGCCTGCATGGTGCAATGTAAAGTGCAAGTCGTTGCTCCATCGTATGCGAGGGGCACCCGTCGCACAATCCTCTGTTGCGATTGCAGATATCGCATTCATGCTACCATCACTCAGTAGCCGTTTTGGCTCAAGCCATGTCGGCGGGGCCACCGAAGCGTCGCAAGACAGACGCCGAAGCACTGATTGAGTTACACAGAGGCCCATATGTATCTGAGCGGAGTCTTACATACATTCTCAAGTACGTACGAGATAATGGTATACCAGGTAACATTTCGCGTTATGCGCAGTGCAGCGCAAGGCAGAAACTAATCGGTGCCGAATCGAACCAGTACGGTGACGTGCTTGTCGGCATTGATATGCCATTGAACAGCGGTAAGAGCTTCAAGAACTGGGCGCGCGCCCCTGGCCCGTACTTGTACTCGACGGCGAAACGGAGTAAGGGGTTCAGAGATCTGTTGCGCCGCCAGCTCGCCAAGCACCCGTGCTCCCTAGCATCCCCATGGCGCATCTGCTTATATTTCGACGGTATCTCACCGCGTGACCCGTTGGCCAAGGGCAAAGACCACCGATGGGGTGGATGCTGTATACTGGTCGTTTCTAGAGTTCGATGAGTTTTTGCAGGGCGAAGACGCATGGCTCGTGCTCAGCACCGCTCGGGTTTCCAAAGTGAGGGACATGCCTGGAGGGATCGGGCAGTCGGTTGCAATGACGTGCAACGAGCTCATGTTCAATACGTCTGGCGGGGTGAACTTTCGTACGACTGGAGTTATCTTGGACGTGTCAGAAGCAGGGGATGCCACAAGGCACGCGACTATAATCGCGAGGTTGGGCTGCACTGTGGGCGACGAAGAAGCCCTCCGTGAATTCCACATGAACAAAGGGCACGCGGGCACCAAACCGTGTGCCATCTGCAGGAACGTGCTCAACCAGAAGTTCGATTATGCGTCGCGCGACACGTCTGGTACATTTATATCGGACGCATGCCTCGACAGAAGCAAACGCGTCGTCAACACAGACGCGCAGATCGTTGCTATCTTGGAAAGGCTACGCCCCGACTGGGAGAGGCACGACCGCGGTGATATTAGCGACAACAAGTGGAAGGAGATCACGCAGCTAAAGGGTTGGAACTTTCATCCGACGCACGTTGCCTTGGACGCCAACCTCGCCTACGGTGTCATGTCGCCCCTCTGCTTCGATTGGATGCACATCTATAGCGTCAATGGCATCGTAGCTAAAGAAGTGAAAGCTTTCACTGAGAACAAGGCGTTTTGCAAACTCTGCAGCGCCGAAGATCTCAACGACTATCTTTCAAACTGGACATGGCCCCACAAGTTTCACGCCGCCAATGCCGTGTTCGCACAGGGCGAACTACAAGCAAACGCATCGCAAGAGCTGTCTATGATTCCCGTGCTGGCGCACTTCATCAGGCAAGTCATTGCCAAGCTGCCTGATGCAGGCACCATCTCGGGTCATATTGCAAGTTTACTTGCACTGCGCGATGCCATTGATATGGTTATTCTCTCGTCCAGGGGCCTCGCGACTGCACGTGAGCTGGATGTCGCCGTGATGAAGCATTTGGAGCTACACACGCGCACATACGGGACTAAATATTGGGTTTACAATCACCATATGGCAACTCATCTTGCCGACATGTACTTCAAATTCGGACCCTTGAACTGCTTCGTCCACGAGCGGAAGCACAAAGTTTGCAAGAAGTTTGCAAAGGACCATCTGTGCATGAGGACCCCCGAGAAGTCATTGATGATGCAGCTCACGGCGCAGCACAGTTACGACATGGAGCACTTCAGCATCCCAACGACGCTGGTCGACCCCGTAGCCGCCACCAAGAAGCTCATGGGCGTCTTGAAGGAGTTGCGTCCGCAAACGCAATCGGCATCATCGAGCCTCACGGCGTGGACCAAGTACGGGCCGATCCATAGAGGAGACATATGCTTGCTGGGACGTGCTGCAGGACATGCAGCCGTGCAGGTCTGGTTCCATGTAGATTGTGACACAGAGACTGCGCCCTCAGGGCCTCTATGCTTAGTCTTGGAATTGCAGACTCGGCACGTGCACAGCGCAGATTACTATTCTAGGTACTCCATAGACGAAGATCATAATCCCGTGCTCATTCCTTTGGACTCGCTGAGGCACCCTGTGATTAACAGGCGTCTCGGCGATGCAATCACTTGCATTTGGCCAGTTGAGTATCGCAAATTGGAATGCTGACGCGTTTGCGATGTAGAAGTATACATCTTCACATCAATGAATACATCTTCAAAACATCCCGCAAGAAACACAACATCGAAATTGAAACAACATTGAACGCCCCAAAATCAAGTATATGTTAGCCGAAAAACTATCATGTTATCCGAAATAAATCAACATGCTAATTTTTATAAATGAGTTATAACTAAGTTATAACTCCGCCTAACAGTTACTAACTTCAAATGCCTTCAGGTATTCGCAGGTAGGATGGACGATGGGGCAGAATCATATGTCAATTGCAATACGAAAGGGGGGATCGATCATTCCGGGGGGGGAGAATCTAGTCTTATTTTTAGGAAGGAGAATGAATCACTTGCTCAACCAGAACTTGTTCACTCCACTGCTCGCGCAAACACCCCACCCACCCACCCGCAACTTGGTTTGCAAGCCCCATGCGGAAGCGATTGCGATGAATGCTTGGTGTTAGCTGGTGCATCTCTGCGGCCGCGCTAGCCCGCGCATGCTCGAGCGCGCAGCGGCCAGCTAGTTTGGCGCGACCGACGCGAACGCGGTGGAGCTGACCGCTCGGCACATTCCAGCGGGCACTCCAGCGCGAGCAGGCGACTTGGGCGGGCGCGGTATCATGGCAACGTCGACAACGGTAGACACGATGATGATAGTAGCGATGCTGGTGACGATGCTGACAGCGACGACGGGGCTGCCAGTGACGGCACCGATGCTGATCACGCCGACGACGATGACGCGTCTTCGCGCTGGTGATGAAGGTTGTAGAAGGAGTTCGAAATGCGCGCGCGGCAGAAGCGCGAGAATGGCCCGCAATATATTAGTTGACACGGATCGTGCCACCCCAGCACGCGCGCAAGGGCGTCCGAACGATTTCGACATGCGCGCGCGACGCCCGTTTGGTAGTATTTTCGGAACGTACGCAAGAATTCGCAAGAACGCGCGCGCAAGTTTTTTGTTTTGAAATTCGTGTTGCGCCTGACGCGTCCAGCGGCGGCTTCAGCGTGCCGCACCTCCGGCAGGCGCTGTTCCTGGCGAAGACGAGGTCGCCACACGCGGGGCAGGACCAGTCGCCTGGCCAGGGGGTGGGCTGGGGGAGGGGGATGGGTGGAGCAGGAGAAGGAGAAGGAGGAGGAGGAGGAGGAGGAGGAGGAGGAGGAGGAGGAGCGGCTGGGGGAGGAGGAGGGGCGGGAGCAGGAGGGGAGAGACGAGCAGAAAGGGTGAGGGGCAGACAAGGCGCAGGGGGCATCAGGAGGACGAGGAGAGAGAGGAGCAGCGCAGAAGGCGCGAAAAAGGGAAGGAGAGAGGGGGGCAAGGAGGCAAGGAGGGGGGACAGGGAGGGGGAGGTGCCAGGGGAAAGGCGGAGCCCGAGGCGCAGGAACGGGAGCGAAACGAGGAGGAACGGCCGCTCCTGGGCAGAGCCGAGCGCCATGCCGCGAGGCGCGCCCGCCCCTCCCTCGATGGAGGAGCAGGCCCTTGCGGACACTCTGACGCGCTGCCCCGTCGTGGCGGCGCGCACCCCCACATGGGGATTTGGAACGGAAGATCGAACATACCCAAAGGATGCTCCAAAATGGTCAGACAGAAATCAAAAAATCGTCCCCAGAATATGTTTTGACTATTTTTGTCCACTCCCCCTGTAGAGGGACAGGCCCGACGTAACCCTACCCCACCTCTGCGTGGCCGCGCTGCCCTCTCGCCGCCTGCTCCGCGAGGAACGCGAGGCGCGCTCACACCTGCGCGCTCTCAGAAGGCGCTGGCCCCCTACATCTACAGACAGGGCCAGCGCCTTCTGAGAACCAGCCTCCTTCTGAGCAGCTTCCCCCCCGTTCCCCCTACCCTTAGGTCGGGCGTGTCCCCCCACATGGGGATTTGGAACGGAAGATCGAACATACCCCAAGGATGCTCCAAAATGGTCAGACAGAAATCAAAAAATCGTCCCCAGAATATGTTTTGACTATTTCTGTCCACTCCCCCTGTAGAGGGACAGGCCCGACGCAACCCTACCCCACCTCTGCGTGGCCGCGCTGCCCTCTCGCCGCCTGCTCCGCGAGGAACGCGAGGCGCGCTCACACCTGCGCGCTCTGGCGCCGACGGCCCCACAGAGGCAAAAACGTTCCGGCCCTCCGCCTCGTCCCCCGATCCTCCTCCTCCTCCTCCTCCTCCTCCTCCTCCTCCTCCTCCTCCTCCTCCTCCTCCTCCCTTTTCCTCCTGCCTCTCCCTCCCCTCTTCCCCTTCCTCATCCTCGTCCTCCCCCCTGACCTCCTCCTCCTCCTCCTTCTCCTCCTCCTGCTCCCTTCTTCTCCTCCCCCTCTTCGCCCCTACCCCCCCCTCCTCCACAACCTCCTCCAGAGCCGCCACAGCCTCCTGCTCCTCCCTCCTCCTCGTCATCCTCCTTTCCTCATCCTTCCCTCTACGTCATCCCCCCCCCCACCTCGTCGTAGTCGTACCCCTTACCCTCCTCGGACTCCTCCCCTTCCTCTCCTCAGGCGTTCGCAGCGTCGCCTGGCTTCGGCGTGATGGCGGCGGGGCCACCTCCGCAGGGCAGCCCGACAGTAGGCCCGTTGGGATTCGGGGTCTGGCACTTGCGGCAGACGGGATTCTTCGCGAACACGTGGTCGCCGCATCCTGGGGAAGAAGAGGAAGGCAGGGCAGTCGAGAACTGCCGCGCAGCCTGCATCAACAGACCGCGAGCTCCATAGCGCAGCGTGGCCGGGCCATGTGCGGGCACTCCTGGAAGACGCCTCCAGGGGACAGACTGAAGCGACGTGCTGGCAGGCGACCACAAATTACAGCCAAAAGCCCTCATAAGGACGCGCGGTAAGGACGCAAGGCCCTTGGAAGCCAAAGTTGGGATTGTTGGGGCGGCGAACGACGAAAACCCCAGGGACGCACGAGCAGGGAAGATCAAGGACGCAATGGGTACCCTGAGCAAAGTCGCACGTCCTCATTAGGGTTTTTGACTGCAGTGCATATGACGTGCGCTGTGTTGTTCTGGGGGGCGAACAAACCTACCTCGCTTTTGACCACCCTCGCTTCCAAGAGATACCAAGCGATGCCAAATCGCAGCCTGTACTGGTCAGGCCGCTTGACGAGGAGGCGCGTGGTATGGCTTGGTTTTGCCTGGAAGCGAAAGCGGGGTAGGTAATGCACGCTCTGATGTTCAGCTAACGCGGTTTCGTGGAGGATCCCGAAGGCTGTTCGCGTGCTCGACGTCTCGGCTCTCCGACGGCCCAAGACGGCTGACATATCCCCAAGCCAACCCCAAAAGCCCGGGAGGCCTCCAAGAGGGCCCCAAAAGACGGCCGACGAGCGCCCCGAGACGGCTCAAGGGGCGCCCAAATCGGCCCAAGAGGGCCCCGAGACGACCCACAAAGGGGCCCCCCAGAGGGAGCACGAAGCGAAAATCCGAGCCTTCCGCCTCAAGAGGCCCCCAAGAGGCCCCCAGGAGGCCCCCAAGAGGCGCCAAGAAAACCCCAAGAGGCTCCCGAGAGGCCCCCAAGAGCGCCCCAGGAGGGCCCCGAGATGCCCCAAGAGGTCCCCAAGATCCCTAAAAGAGGCCCCAAGAGGCCCCGCAAAAGCTCTCAAGAGGCGTCGAAACTGTCTCCAAGAGGCCTCCGAGAGGCCTCCCACGATCCCGACGAACATCCGATCGGCTTCATACCCACAACCCAGGCACGGTGGCGGGATGGGCCGAAACCATTCGATAGCCATGCTTACCCACGCAGACCCCTGACAACTAGAAGTAAAAAACACTAATGTTCTACGGGTGTGGAAAAGCGGGGGCATGCACACTTAGGATGAGAAGAAGGATAAGCAGGAGCAGGACGAGGCGGAGGGAGATAGAGGAGACGGAGAAGGAAGGGTGGAGGAGGAGAATGACGAGGATGAACGCTTAGGAGGCTCCTCATTCGGGGCGCACATTTCCAACATGCCCTAAGATGGCCCCGAGGGCTTGGCCTGGTGCCCTCTTGAGGGCCTCTGGGCCCGTGCTGGGAGACCTCGGCGTTGCGCAATCGAACAAGATCACTCGTTGCTGCCAATCTCGCTGGGCCCACCGCGTCGGCGACTGGTTCCTGGCTGTCGGCCAGCGCGGTCTGGGGCATTCTGTCTTCTCGCTGGGGACGGAGGCCTGCGACAGCGCGTCTTCTGCCTACGATTCACTGGTGCAGAATCCCGACCACCCCCGCTTTGGAACCGCCGGCCCCCCAAACCGGGGTCCCAGGCGAGGAGCCACTCCCCTGGCAAAAGTCGGGGGGGGAGCCGAGCACCCCCCTCTCCGAAGGTCGGGGGAGGGGGGCGGGTTCACACACCTTGCCGCCTCCCTGGCTTCCTCCCAGTGCTCAAAGACGCTCTCTCAGGTCAGCAGGCAGGGCAAGCATTGCTAGATGAGTGATGCAACTTTATGCATCTGCGTGGGCGCGTGCTTCGGCGACAGTCTGGGTGGGCTCAATTTATCGCTTGCCGTGATTCGCTCTGAACCCGCGCATGTCGAAGCCTCCTCGATTCGCATTCAGGGCGGTCAGCTGCCGAAGCCTTCTGTGCAATTGGGAGCTGCCCTTCGGACCAGGGCCCAGAGTGGCTAGATCCCGAGGCAACGGTAGTGGCAGTGACATTGGTGGCAGCACTGGCACCAACAGTCGTCGTGAGCGCTGCAAATGTTGTGCGCAGTGTTGTAGCATATCGCAGAAGCGGCGCAACACCCCACACATGTTTTTTGCCCCCTGAGCTACCAGATCTCGTGGGCCGTCCCGCGCGTCACACCCCTGCCCAGGGCATCGCACCACCGAGAGCACGCAGGCCATACGCTGGATATATAATCTACGTAAACAGAAACTTTCGGAAGTTCCCCCCTCCTCGTCCTCCTCCTCCCCCCTCGCACCTCCTCCTCCTCCTCCTCCTCCTCCTCCTCGCCCCTCCTGCTCCCTAGCGTCCTCCGCCACCTGCTCCTCAGCATCCTCGTCGCCGCCGTCCTCAGGGTCGGCGGCACCTGCCGTAAGGCCTTCGCAATCTACGTGCACAGAAATGTTCGGAGGTCCGCGCGGATGTCTTGGATCGGCGCCAGGGGCGGCGCTGGAGGCGCCGCCAAAAGAGGCCCGACGCCGATCCAAGGACTCCGCGCGGAGCTCCGACCATGCATGTCGAGGCACATCTTCCTTTACCGGATGCCATCATCGCACTACCATGCCGTAGGAACTCGACCACAAGACCACCTCCCGCAAGAAACCCTGGCGTGACCCCAGGACGTCCACTGTGATCGGTGTGGGCACGGCACGCCTCCCATCGCGAAAACAATCGAAGCCCAAGAAACCCAGGGCACCCTGGAGGTAAGCAGGGTCTTTCTTGGCATGGGCCTCCACTGTAAGCGTCGTGAGTGTACAGACCCCCACCCCCCTCCAAAAAGTTACCCCAACTGACCAGCGACCAGACAAAAGGCTGGCTCGTCTCCCCGCAAGAAGGGGGTGGACAGAACACCCTCTGGCAAAAACGCCCTCTGGTGAGAGCTGCCCGGGCACTCCACGGTAGCACGGCACCGCATTCCGAGCGCACCCCAGCGGGGTAACTGGCGCACCGCGCGCCGATTAGCGGAACCTGGCACACTCGAATGCCGCATGCCAATGTCGAGTGAACCCGTGCAGATTTACTCGGTTGATTTGTCTGGGGGGGCTCCATGTCAATGAGCGACAAAACCCTCCCGAACGTCCTGGGCACTGCCAGTCGCCCGGCCTCATCTGCAGGGCGACCGGCTGGCCGCTCACCATCATGCAGCCGCCCCCGCCTCGGGAGGGGGAGGCGGGGGCAAGGGAGGGAGGAGGGCTAGGAGGTAACTCCTGGGAGGTCTGCGCATGAACGGCTGTGGGCTATCAAGCCCGCTGCAGGGGCCACTTGACCGGATTAGCACTGAATAGACCCGATCGAGCCAGATGAAGCAGGATTCAACCGGATTTGTCTGGATCGTGCCACTTGTTTCGACCACCAGTATACCACCACCGGTGCTGAGTTTAAAATCCCAGGAGTTGCATCTGAAGGAAGGGAAGGAGGGACGTGCGCCAATGTACCAGCAAACCGCTGCCAGGACAAGGAGGCGGAGGGAGGGTGGGAGTGAAAGGATCGGAAGAGAGAGGAGAGAGGGGAGGGGTAAGCCCGGTGCGCTCGCGCCTCATCTGACATCCTGTGCACCCCACCCATCCCTCCCCATGGTGCTGTTAACCTTCCCTAACCGCATTCCAAGAAAGTTCACATCGTGTCATGCGCAATCAAAAACAAAGAAAGCTACGTACATTGGAGGAGGTGGCAGATGAGCAGGAGTAAAAGGAGGAGGAAGGAGGATGACGAGGAGGAACAGCAGCAGGAGGAGCTGGAGTGGAAGAAGCGGGAGGAGCAGAATGACCAGGGAAGGCGGAGGGGAAGCCGCGCAAACAAAGCACCTGCGATCTTGAGCATCAGCAACCGAGCTTGATAAAGGAACTTCGCAAAGGCAGCTTGCTGCCTGCGCGCAGCGATTACCACAACATCCATGGACATCTCGCGCCCGTCACCCCGAACACATTCTGAGCCATGGCGGCACCGCTGACCTGCAGACCTGTGCCCAAAACAGAGGCCAAGGCGGGAACCCGTGCGGCCACTGATGTAGAAAAAGAAAACAACGCCACAGACATGAACTTCTCGCGCTCCGCGCGGACCTCTTGGATCCAAGAAATCCGTGCGGAGCGCGAAAAGTTTATGTTTAAGTCGGGCGTGTCCCCCTACAGGGGCATGTTCGACGAAAACTAGAAAATATGCAAAAAATACTCGAACATGGTCAAAAAATGGTCCCCATACTATTTTTGGACTATTTTTGAACATTCCCCCTGTAGAGGGACAGGCCTAGCGTCAGTTTATGGCGCTTTTTCTGTTCTGCGATGAGTCACGAGCGGCGAACATGTCCGAGCCCGCCGCGGCCTGGTCTCCCAAGAGCACCATCCCCATGGGATGCGCGGTCGCACGGCTATACAGTCGGGGCGTTGACCTAAGGAACCCTAAATAAGGAACGAGGTCCCTTTTTTCCATAAGTTAAACCTCGATTTCCTGTCGAAAACATAGGGGACATCCAAGGCAAGCTGTGAAACGCTTAAGGAACACGGAGCCCCTCCCCAACGAAAAGGGTTCCTTCTTCAGGGTCCCGACTGTACGCTCCGCGCGAGGTCACGGCCCAGGGGCCCCGGCGGGCGAGGCCGCGGACACGGCTGTGCTTCCCGCCCACCACGGGTGCTCCGAGGAGGCGGCCCTCCCCCTGCGCGCGCGGCGGCGGGCGAGAGGGCGCCGGAGCCCCAGGCGAGGGCGCGCGGGCGAGGGCCCCCAGGCAGCGAGAAGCCCCCGGCCGCCCTGGCCCGGAGACCTCCCCGCTGGGGTCCGAGCCCCTGGGGCCGGAGGCTCGCGCCGCCTCGCCGGCGCCTCGGCGACGCCTCGGCGATGCAGCGGCGGTGCGTCGGCGGTGCACCGGGGGGAGGCGCCAGAGCAGGGGGAAAACTCGAGCTCCACACCGAGCCGCGTCGCCGACGCATCGGCGATGCGGCGCGATCCTCCGGCCCCGTCTGCCCCGACCCCGGCCCAGGAGGCCCCGGTGGCCTGACCTTCCAGAGAGCTATTTTTTTAGCATGGGAGGCCTGAAAACATGAAAAACGAAACGAAACAGCCGAAAACCAAGACGTAGAATAGCTCTGGGATCGGTTTTTCAGTCGCGCGCTATCTTTTAGCCCTCCTGGAAGGCCCAGGTGGCCACCGCCTCCGCCCGAGGGCGCAACGGCCGGGAGGGCCACGGGCCCCTCGACGAGCCGCGCAGCCAGTCGCGGGGCCGCTGGGGCCGCGCGGGCGGCCTCCTTCAGAGGTGCAGGGCGGCGTGAAGCCCCAGCGCCGGGCCCAAACGACCACTCGGCCGGCCCCCGCCCCCCTCTTGAAGGATGAGCTCCAGGAGGAGGAGGGGGAGGAGGAGGAGGAGGAGGGGGAGGAGGAGGGAGGAGGAGGAGGAAGGGGATGAGGAGGAGGAGGAGGAGGAGAGGAGGAGGAGGAGGAGGAGGAGGAGGGATGAGGGGAGTAGGAGGGAGGAGGGGTAGGAGGAGGGGGGGGGGGGGTGTGGGGGGGGGGGGGGGGGGGGGGGGAGAGGAGGAGCTGCTGCCCGCCGCACACCGCGAGCAGGCTGCGCCGAGCCCGCGGTGGGCGATCGAGCCTGGGAGGGCCTGGGCGGAGGGCGCAGTCGCAGCAGGCGAGTGGAAGCTGTCCCGCTCGGAGCGCGCGCCCTCGGACCACCCCGAGGCCACCTCGCGCGCGCGCGCGGAGGATCAGCGCTCCCGCTCCCGCAGCCGCCGCGCTGCAGGGGACCCCCCTTGGCAAGGGGGGCACGGCAGGCGCGTGCGATGAGAAATTCTGGCGTGAGGAATCTGGGGGCACGCTTGTCGACGACCTCTGCGCTCCCCGAGGTGCTTCGTCGGGTCCCCAAGGCCACCGAAGGGGAGACATGTTCCGTGCGACACCTCCTGGTGGCGGGATGCCTTCTTGAGTTGACGCGCCTGCGCACGCCGTGGCAGCGAGGTGGAGTCCACGAGCACCTGGGACAGGGCCAGCTTCCGCAGGTGCACGAGGCCCCGACGCAGCGACGGCAACCCGCAGGTCGACACCCCAGGGATATGGGGCTGCGGTCGGGACGTTGTGCTTTTCGTGTCGCGGCGGCGGCCCCGGCGACACGCCATGCCGACAAGAGTGTGGCTCCACTCCGCTGGGCGGGAGGATGGGGAAGGCTCGGGATGGTGGCGCTCGGAGAGTGGGACGTGGTTGGCGTCCCGCGGAGATGCGGCGTTGGCCAAAACCGGCGGAGAGACGCGCTCAGCAAACGTCCCTGACCGTGCATCGAATACCGCCGACCCCGAGAGTCGGCATTCCAAGCGTCCTTAAGAAAGCGTTGCTGGGGGAACCAAAAGGTACCGATACCGCTACTCCCTGGACCTTTCCTGGGGTGTGTTCTGACCATGATTTTGAGGCGAATCCAACGGTGGCGACGAGGGCAGGAGGCCTAACATGGGCAAACGAGGGAAGGGTAGCGGTATGGGTACCTTTCCCTCCTCTGAGTCATAAAACGTTGCCCCCCCTGGCGCAATCCTCAAAGCAACAATTCACGGCCGCCGAGAGGACGGAACCGCTAGTGATCAGAGCGCGGTCGCTGCTCGCAACAATCGTTGACCCTTCGCGGCCAGCTCGGGACGGCGACGCGGGCCGCGCCACCAATGAAAACGGGCGGCCCCAAGGAAAAAACCCAGAGCGACGCCTTCAGAGTAGCCTGCATGCCCGTCGACTTGGGCGGATAGATGTACAGTCGGCCCGTATCATAAGGATGCGCGATAAGGATGCAAGGGCCTTGGAGGGCGATGTTGATGTTTTGCGAACGAGGTTGGCCAGCGAAAGTCGCTAAGGATGGGCCGAAGGGGCAAGGATGTACGGGCAACTTTGAGAAAGTTGCCCATCCTTACTAATTATGTGTGTTGACTGTAGAGACGGCCCACGGAGATCGGCTCGGCAGCTCTGTTGCAATAACGCTCAAGCCCGCTCGCTCGCCAGTGCGTGGCCGTGAAGATGGGGGCCCAGCCGAAGAACAGAGGCGACAGGGCCTCCTCCCGCGCTGCTGACGCGGCCGCCTGCCCAAACCCTTCGGACAGCTTGGAGCAACCGACGGCGCCCGAGGGGCTTCCCGAACGGGCCCTCCTCCACAGAGCCTGCAGTGGAGTGGCCACGACCCCAGACGCACGCGCGCCCGCAACCTCATGTGGCCTTCCTGGGGAACTTCGACGCGACCTTCGCGACCTCCAAGAATTACCATCTCGTGGCACTCAGTGGCCGCTAGCGGCCTGTAGCGGCCACTGACGAGCGGCAGCGCTGTGGCCTGGTGGCCGATTGTGGCCTGCAGCGGCCACCAACGACGAGCAACTTCTCCAACCCTCTCTTGAGCAGGGACCGACCGTCCCGGCATTCCTATAGTCATACCACGAAATGCTCCTAGAACCCCAAAATCTTCTAAGAACAAAAACAATGTTCTGAGAACAGAACCCCGATGTGTTAAAACAAAACAGACTCCGCCAGAAATGTTCTAAGAACATGTCGTGGAGACCACAAAAGGCTCTTAGAACATTGTTTGGTGGGGCTATAAGCGAACCAGGACGCTTCGCCACTGCTTGACTCTCGAGCTCGACGCGCCCCGTCGGCGGCCCAACGCTACTTACACCTCGCCGGCCGGCCCGGCCCATGCCCTGACCTTCCAGAGAGCTACTTGGCCGAAGAACTTAAAACAAAACGAAACAGCCTAAAACCAAGACATAGAATAGTTTTGTTGGATAGGTTTTTAAGTCGGGTGCCATGTTTTAGCCCTCCTGGAAAGTCAGGGACGGGGACGGGGGCCGCCGGTGCCACTCGGCGGCTCTTCGCCGCGCGGCCCGCGCTGCGAGCTCCGCCGGCCGCCCGCGCGCACGAGCTCCGTCGAGCCCCCCGGAGGAGCCCCGCCGCCCCGCGGCCGGCCCAGGCAGGCCGCCCCGCTGCCGGCCCTGGCCGCGCGGGAGCGACGAGGAAAGAGGCGGGCCTTTTGCGCGAGAGGGCACAGCGACCGCGCGCCGCGGCGTGCGCGGGCCGCTGGCGAGGCGCGTGGCCACTGGGAGCGCGAGAGGGCGCCCTGCGCGCGGCCAGCTCGCGCGGACCGCTCGCGCGCCGAGGTCGGTGCGGGCGGCACCGCCGCGGCCTCGCGGGTGGCCGAGCGGGTGGGCCGGACGAGGCCGCGCCTGCACCGGGCGGATGCGCGGAGTCGCGTAGATCGGGGGCGCGCAAGCATGGACTAGCGATCCATGGGTTTGGCGCGCGGTCGCCAAATCCATGGATCGGGCGAGGTGCGCTCCTCAAAAATGCGGCTGGGGCCGCCTCGCTCGGCGGCGGACGTCCGCAATTTCCCCTGGAAACGGGACCCGTCGCTAATCCACGCCCCCTTGATCCATGTTCGCGATAGCCTGACGATATTGCGGCAATCACGGGGAGATGTGGTATTGTGGCGAAATGCGGCTGGGGCCGAATCGCTCGGTGGCGGACGTCCACGATCTCCCATGGAAACGGGACCCCTCGCTGATCCACGCCCCCTTGACCCATGTTTGCGATCGCCTGAGGATGTCAGCGGAGCGGCTGCCAGGCGGATTCGCGCATAGAGGGACCGCGAGCTACGCTCGGTACAACGACGGGCCGGACACACGAACGTGTTGTCTACTGGACCCGCCGTGTTTACAGGAGGCTCACGTAGAGGGGGCCGCAGATGTTAAACAATTGTACTTCAGTTTGTCGTCGTGGTGTACAGCAGATGTTCTCTAGACTTCGCTTCGGCAGACGGTCCAAATAATAATCGAGGGAGGAAAGCGGCATGAACACAAACTGTCGGAGGTCCGCGCAGTGTTCCCGGATCGGCGCTGGATCCCCCATCCCTGGCGCGCGGAGCGCGCACCGGCGCCGCTGGAGGCGCCGCCAGGGAGCTCCAGCGCCGATCCAGGAAATCCGCGCGTATAGTCCGAACCCTTGATGCTCAGGGCTGTTTCTATCCTGCACTCACCGCCTTGCAAAACATACTGTGAAGGCATTGGGTAATGAACCATTAGATCAGGAATGCAGGGTTTGGAAGCTGGTTGAACTCCAATCGTGGTGTGGCCACGGATATCACCGCCACCCACATTAGATCAGGAATCCCCCAGGGCCTAAGGTCTCCTGGGCACGCTCCTCAACGAACGCTCCCACAGCATCCGCTCGACACCGCTGCAACCAAACCTTGCCATCGCTCGGACCTCGATTCCAACTGCATCTCTCGGCTTTGCACGTGTACAGTCAAAACGTATATTAAGGACGCGTGGTAAGGACGCACGACCCTTGGAGGCTGAAGTTGGGATTTTTCTTGGCGGCGGCGACCAATGAAAACGGCAAAGGACGGGCCACAGAGGCAAGGACGCAAGGGCATCCTAGATGAAGGCGCGCGTCCTCACTAGGCGCGTTGACTGTATGTTTCCGCAAGGTGATCCGAGGTGTTCCTCGATGGTCCTCGCCGAGGACACAAAAAAAGCACACGTCCGAGAGATGCCGGGCCAAAGAGAAGAGCGCGCCGAGACACACTCGGGCGAGGGCCGCAGGCGCGGCGCAGCGGGCGAGGCGCAGCGGGGAGCCGCAGAGACACGCTGAGGCTCAGAGGGCACGCCGTGTACTCGAGGCACGGTTCTCTGAAGGCGAGCACGTGGTGATGGCCAAAGCTGTTGGAGGCAAGCACCGAACTTCTCACTGAAGGCAAGCTTGTTTGCTCACTGAGGGCGAGAACTCCCCCACTGACGGCGAAATCGTTGGCCCACTGAAGGCGCACACTTCTGGCTGGTTGCAGACCTGTTTGTCACTGAAGGCAACTTGTCGGCCCTCTGTGTGAGCCAGGCAAAACGCCGTGCCTGAAGTGGGCCGCAGCCACCGTGCTTGCGGGGGAGGGACACGCGAACAGCGCGCAGGGGCCGGGCGGCCTCGCGGAGGAGGACGCGGACAGAGGGCAGATCCTGACACAGGATGCAGGGCTGAACCTAAGCGGTGATTTTCGTTTCCGTTTTGTTTTCGTTTTCCCTCGCTTTTGTCTCGAACCCGCCTTTACCGCAAAACGAAGTCGAAACGAAAACGGCCCACGAAATCACCAACCAAAAACACCGTTTAGGTCCAGCCCTGATGATGGAGGGGCCGCGACATGACAGGGAATAGAAGAAGAAAACACTGCATAAGCATGAACTGTTGGCGCTCCGCGCGGATTCCTTGGCCCTGCGCTGGCCCCCACTTCCCGGCGCGCGGAGCGCGCCAGTGGGCGGCGACGGAGGCGCCGCCCTGGGGGGCCCCCAGCGCGAATCCGAGAAACCCGCGCGGAGCGCAAGAAGTTTATGTGCATAGCGCCCTTTCTTCCTTAGGGGGAAAGAGGGGGAATAGGAGATGGTCTGCGGCGACGATAGGGGCGAATAGCCCAGGGGCGGGCATTACACGCATTCGCCCGGGAGCCTTTTCGACGACGTAGGTCATCGGCGCACCTGAATACATGTACTGCTCTCCCCTGGGCTATGCGCCCCTATCGTCGCCTCTGGATGGGACATGGAGGGGTGGAGGAGGGGACGGGGATCCCCTGCAGGGCGCTGCAGGGGGTCCCCTCCTCCTCCTCCTCCCCTCCTCCTCCTCCTCCTCCTCCTCCTCATCCTCCTCCTCCTCCTCCTCCTCCTCCTCCTCCTCCCTCTCCTCCCCCTTCTGTGCTCTGCCCCGCGGCGCGGCCCGCCGAGCGGCCGGGCGGCGCCACACTTGCGGCACTGGCGCCGCGGGGCCCCGCCGTGGGGGCGGGGACGGCCGGCGTGTGTCTTCTCGTCGTCGCTCCTCCCCCTCCTCCTCCTCCTCCTCCTCCTCCTCCTCCTCCTCCTCCTCCTCCTCCTCCTCCTCCTCCTCCTCCTCCCTCCTCCTCCTCCTGTGCGTCTCGGCCCAGCGAGAGGGGGCGGAGGGCCAGCGATGCGGGGGGCGGGGCTGGCACAGGGGGGTGGGGCTGCATCGACCTGCACAAATCGGCGACGCGTCGCCGACGGATCGGCGCTGGGGCCCCGACGGCGAGTCCGCACCCTCCCGGGCAGGCCGGGACGGTCGGGCCCACGTCGGCGATCCACGGGCGATTGGGGGCCGCTGCATCTCCCCCTGCGCCTATCCCCCCCCCATCGTTGCCCCTGACGGGCAGGGGAGGGAGGGGAGGAGGACGTGGGAAGGGGAGGGGCGGAGGCCGAGGTGCGACGGGTGGAGGTGGGGGCCGGGCCCCGTTCCGCTCCTCCTCCTGCCCCGGCAGGGGCTCGGCGTGGCTTTGCTCTGGGCGGGCCCTGCGAGGGCGGCGCAACACGCAGTCCTCCAACTCGGAGCCCTCCCAAAAAGTCAGGGTCCGCCGGAGGCCAGAGAGGCCCGCTGGATCGCCAGAGGAGGAGGAGGCGGAGGAGGCTGTGGCATGGGACGGGGGGGGAGGACGAGGTCAGGCGGGTGGGGGCGAGGAGAGGGCCTCGCTCCCCTCCTCATGCTTCTCCTCCTGCTTCTAAGCCTCCTTCTTCTTCATCCTCCTCCTGCTCCTCCTCCTCGTCCTTCTCCCCTGTCTTCATCCTCCTCGTCGTGCTGCTCGTGACCTTCTTCCTCTTGCTCATCCTGGTGCTCGTCCAGTTCCCGCTCCCGCCCTCCCACCCGTCTCGCAATTCTCTCCCAAGTCCCGCTCCCAATTCCCTGCCTCCTCCGCTTCCCGGCCGTTCCTTTTCTCGGGCCTCCTTCCTCCTGCTTCCCTACCGCGATCCCTCCCCTTCTTCCTCCCCCCTCCCTTTCCTTCCCGTGGTGGAAGATGACGGTGGAGGCGAAGCGGCAACCGCGGGGCTCGGGGCTATTCTGGCCCCCCACTCCGAGGCACTGGAAGGAGCCACGTGGAACTCATACGCAAAGCAGCAACATCGTGAGGCATAGGCGAAGACGATGGAGGTGGGCGGCTGTGGAGGAGGGACGACGCATGCACTCACACCCCTGGAGCTGTTGCCGACGCCCAAGCTGATGACGTGCTCGACTGCGCGACTGAGCTATACGCGAATATTGAAGGTCAATGCCCCCGTGCGAGGCCTGCACATCTTCAAAACTACAGGTCTCCCTGGCACAAGTCTTCGCGCGAACGAATGCACGCCGCAAGCGCTGGTAGGCCCGGCGTACACCAAGCGAGTGCGCGAGACCGACGTTTTCGAACACAGAGGAGGATGGGCATGCAGAGGAGGCCGAGGAGGATACGTCATTGTACTACCACGAGGAGCGCTGCACAAAGCACGAACGGGCTTTTCTGGCCATGGCGAGCCTCGGCCACGAAGAGCTTCCCTTGACGAACAAGCTGTATCAACCTAACCTTTCGAAAGCCCGCGCGGATTCTTTGGACCGGCGCTGGACACCCTCCGCTGGCACCTGGAGCGTGTCAGGGGCGGCGCTGGAGGTGCCGCCATGGAAGCCCAAGGCAGATGCAAGAAATCCACACGAGTCGCCGAAAGATTGCCTGTGGTTGCGCAATCTATTCGTCCTAGATTCCCCGACCCAGATTTGAGCAACGGCCCGAAAAACCAAAGCCCCTCCTGAGCCCGAGATAACCTGAATCTGGGGCGCTGACTGCAGGGGGGTCGAAAATCTAGCGAAGATCGATGTCCGAGGATCGAGATCCTAGGATCGAGGATTGAGAACCGAGCTCGAGCTCGAGGATCGAGCGATGGTCCAGAATCAAGGCTCGAGCGATCCGGATCCCCCCTCGAAGATCGAGGACCGAGCATCGAGGATGGCCCCTCTCGGCGCCCCCGCTTGGGCGCGGCGGCTGCGGCAGCCGACTCGGGGATGTTCCTGGCGAACTGGTGGTCGCCGCAAGACGGGCAGAGCCTCGGCGGAAACACGGGTTCCCCCCCCCCCCCCCCCGACGGAGGAGGAGGAAGGAGGAGGAGGGAGGAGGAGGGAGGAGGAGAGGAGGAGGAGGAGGAGGAGGAGGAGGAGGAGGACGGAGTCGAGGGAGTCGTGCGGCCATCGTGCTGCCACGCGGAGCGCCCACGGGGAGCAAAGGGGGGGGGGGGGGCTGTCTGGCCGCGGCGGGCCTGGGCCACGGGCGGGCTCCGGGGCGCACGGTGGGCGCAGTGTCCCCCACCGCTGCCACGGGCAGGGCGGGGGAGGAGGAGGAGGAGGAGGAGGAGGAGGAGGAGGAGGAGGAGGAGGAGGAGGAGGAGGAGGAGGAGGAGGAGGAGGAGGAGGAGGAGGAGAGGAGAGGAGGAGGAGAGGAGGAGGAGAGGGCCCTCCTTCCAGCGTCCGGGCTGTGCGGTCCGGACCTTCTCGCTGCTAATAGTTGGTGGCGCACCGCGGCGGCGGCCCTGGCGCCACGCCGTGCCTTGCAAGCCGGTGGCGGGTCGCTCCGCTCCGTGGGGCGGGAGGCTGGGAACGGCTCGGGACGCTGACGCTCGGGGAGTGGGACGTTGAGGGGCACGAAGCGTGACGCACGTTGACAGGGACGTTGACGCAGCGTGTCGCGGCGAAGCGTGGTGGGCAAGAACCGGCAGCGCGACACATTAAGCACAAACTCCTGACCGCAAGTCGGACATCTCTGAGAGCTGGCGGGTCTGAAGGGCGCATCTTGGGGGACCAGAAGCAGGGCAGTGACAGATCTCACCGCGAGGTCCTCCAGCGCAAGGCTTTGAAACCTTGGGAGGCCCAGACCGCCCGAGGCGTCCCCAGAGAACGACCCAAGTCCGAAAGCCATGCGGTCGGGCGAAGCCCCGTTGGCCCATCACACAGCGCGGTCGCCGCACCGTCTGGGGGGGCACAGGGGTCGGGCGCTGCGGCCAGACGCAGAGTGGTCCAGAGCGCTCCGAGGAGCGAGAGGAGGAGGAGGAGGAGGAGGAGGAGGAGGAGAAGGAGGAGGAGGAGGAGCAGGAGGAGGAGGAGGAGGAGGACGAGGAGGACGAGGACGAGGAGGAGGAGGAGGAGGAGGAGGAGGAGGACGAGGAGGAGGAGGAGGACGAGGACGAGGAGGAGGAGGAGGAGGAGGAGGAGGAGGACGAGGACGAGGAGGAGGAAAAGGAGGAGGAGGACGATTGGCTCAGGCCCGCCTGCGCCTCCCCCGCGCCACACCTGGCCAGGCCCCGCCCGCGCGCCACTCGCGATCCCCGCCCCGCGCACCCGCTCTGTCGGAGGGGGGCCCAGAGCAGGCCCCGGGCCGCCTCGGCTTCGGCCGCGCCTCGCCCGCCCCTCCCGGAGGGCCCGTCCCCCCCGCCCGTCGGCGAAGCGTCTCGACGCCGGGCGAACTCGAGCCGCGGGGCCGCAGCGCTCGCCCCTGGCGATCGCGGGAGCTGTGCAGGGCAGCCCCGCCTTGGCGGTGTGCAGCGCGGGTTCCACTGGCGGCCCGTGCGGACCAGGAGGGGCAAGAGCAGACGAAAGCCAAGCAGAGAAGCCGAGTTGGGCACAGAGTAGCGAAGCCGTCTCGTCGGCGAAGGCATCCTCCTCCTCCTCCTCCTCCTCCTCCTCCTCCTCCTCCTCCTCCTCCTCCTTCTCCCTCCTCCTCCTCCTCCCTCCTCCTCCTCCTCCTCCTCCTGCTCGTTCATAGGCAGGCTGTGGGGGCGCCTCTCTGTCCGCTGGGTGCTGTGTCAGTGCGCTCGCCCACTGGCCCGTGCGCGGGCAAAACTCCGCCTCCTCCTCCTCCTCCTCCTCCTCCTCCTCCTCCTCCAACTCCTCCTCCTCCTCGGCCGCCTTCTCCTGAATACCCCCCACCCCCGCCTTTTTCCTCGCGAGAGGAGGCTGAGCTACTCCTGCCAGGCGGGCGGCAATGGAGGGTGACCTCAGTGAGGGGTGAAGGCAGGGGCCCTGCAGACATGGGCCCTGAGGGGTCCGCTATGGGCCCGAAAGGGCTCCTGCAGGGCCCTTTGCTCCACCCCACATTTAGGTCCCCCCCCCCCATTTTTGCGAGGCGGGGATTTATCCGTATCCACCGCCTGGGAAACGACGTCCTGGTGCCCCTGCGGGCGGTGGATATGGATGCATGTTTGCCCCTGGGGGCCCTAACACATCCATATCCACTGGCTGCGAGGTCCCCGAAAATTGATCCTCGAGGCGGTGGTCATGTAAAAATTCCAGCCTCGGAATTCTGGCGGTGCGCACACGGGGGTGGAGGGAGGGGGGAGGGCTTCTTAGAAGGAGGGAGGCTGCTTCTTAGAAGGCGCCAGCCAGCCTTGCATCTAACTGGATAAGGCCCGCGTCTTCTAGGAAGCAGGGGTGCTCCTAAGAAGCCCTCCCCCCCTCCCCCCACCCCCCTTCTGCTAGGGGGCCACATGCGAACCCTACCCCTACTCCCCCACGATTTCTGAGGGGGAGGGTGGGGTTCACCTCGCTCGGGAGCTCCCGAGCGAGGTGAACCCCTCCCTCCCCCCCAGAAATCGTGGGGGAGTAGGGGTAGGGTTCGCAGGTGGCCCCCTATCTGCGCGTGGCTGACCATCAAGCACTCGACCCATCGGCCCGGTACGAGCTGGCCGTGCAGGCAGGGAGGGCAGGCGCTGGCGGCGGGGAGCGCAGCCCCTCGGATGGTTGCCGACAACGGCCCGACAGACGCGCCTCACCCGACGCACGCATTTGCAGGCGCTCCTCCAACCTCGTGAACAAACGCTAGGCCCGCCTTCCAGAACTGTCTTTAGAGAAACCTGGGCCATCTTTGCCAAAGCTGGAGGGGCAGAGTCAGACGCGCCTAAGAAGCTGGGCCAGCTCTCTGGCCACCTGCTTGAGAAACAACTGTTTGGAAGGCAGTCTGCTAAGCATGACCCTGCGAGCTGGTGTTTGCAGCATAGCCGAAATCGCCCAAATAGTCCCGAGGGCCTCCTCCGCCCAGATAGTCCCGAGGGCCATCCATCATCATCATCAGAGAAATATCGTCGTCCGTTAAGCCAAAATCTTTTGGATCGAATCATACATGATCCTTGTGCGACCCTGGGGCGTGATCACGTATTCGACCATTGTGTCTTACGTCTTGCCCTGCGCACGTCTGCACGTCAAGAATGGCAACTACATGGTTGATCCGTGCACCGAGCGCTGCAAGCGGCACCAATATGTATGTGAACAGCGCAGGCCACGAGACCCTCTAAAGAGCACAGGCACGGAACCCAGACGTCGAGCGGCCGTATTGGAGACGGGCCTCCTGTCCGCTGCCAATATACGAGCCAGGAACAGCCTGCCCCCCGGGTAATGACGATACTCATGCCAATGAGCCGCCCTGGCTCTTAACAAAACGGGAGGTGAAGACAAGCACTGTTGTGGGGCGGACGGGACGACGGCTGGATGGAACAGCACAGCTTGAATCGTGGATTCGCGCGTCGCCAACTCCAGGAAGAGGAGGAGGTGGATGAGGCGGAAGAGGGCGATGAGGGGAGGGGAAAGGAGAAACAAACTCCACACACTCCTGCTCCAGCCTGAGATCCGGTAGAATATAGGAGGCCCGGAGCACACCAGGGCGGATTACGGCTAGGTCGGGCATGCCCCCCCTAGAGGCGAAAGTTGGAAGAAACATTAAATCTTAGCCAGCGCAGTCCCCAAACAGCCGGCTGTTGCAACCCATGCGGTGCAACCTATGTGGTGCAATGTATGCGATGCAACCTGCGTAATGCGATCTACGCGGTGTAACCTATGCGGTGCACCTGCCTACCCCGCACCGCCGTTGACCACCTCCACTGTTCGCGCAAACCTCCCCCGACCTACCCGCAACTTCGTTTGCAAAACCAATTCGGCGGGGATTGCGATGAGTGCTTGGCGTTGGCTAGTGCATCTCTGCGGCCGCGCCAGCCCGCGCATGCGCGCGCGCAGCAGCCAGCGAACTTGGCGCGACCGATGCGGCCGCGGTGGCGCCGACCGCTTGGCACATCCCAGCGGGCACTTCAGTGCGAGTCGGCGACTTGGGCGGGCGCAGTATTATGGCAACGTCGACAACGGTAAACACGATGATGATAGTAGCGATGCTAGTGACGATGCTGACCGCGCCAAACCGCGCCAACCCAAGCACGCACGCGCAAGGGCCAACTAGTTTGGCGCGACCGACGCGGCCGCGATGGCGCTGACCGCTGGGCATATGCTTGTGGGCACGTGCGTGCGAGTCGGCTACGTGGGCGGGCGCGGTATCATGGCAACATCCACAACGGTAGACACGATAAGGATGGTGGCGGTGCTGGTGACGAGGTTGACTTCGGCGGCGGCGCGGCCGGTGCAGGCGCAGATGCTGATCGCGCCGACGACGATGACGGCGCCCTCGCGTCGGTGATGGAGGTTTTTGGAAGGAGTTCGTCATGCGCGCGCGCGGCCGAGCCGACGCGCGAGAGTGACCCGCAGGGTATTATTTAGCACGGATCGTGCCCCCCCCAGCACTTACGCAATGGCGTGAGCATGATTTCGGTATGCGGCGCCAGAGACCCGTTTGGCTGAATTCCATGAAAATGTTGAAAATCTGCAGTTTCCGAAAAGCGCGTGCGCACGCTGTTTTGAAAACTGATGTTGCAAAACCACGTGGGTTTAAAAATTGTTCGGCACTCGGTTTAAACATCGTTACGAAACAAAAGGTTTCTGACGGATTCTGGCATGCGCGCGCGACGACGCGCGCGCGTGCACTCAGTCCCGTTGTTAGCACGAGGGTTCTCGCGACGGCACGCGCGCATGGGCGCTCGAACGATTTCGACATGCGCGCGAACCCCGTTTGGCACAATTTCTGGACATGGCGAAGACTTTTTTCTGAATCCCACCAGCCCTTTGGGCGTGAGTGGTTTAGGGAGCCCGCTCTGTTCTCAACCCCCTTCTTCCCCTTCGGGGAGGGGTTTACCCCTCCCCCTACCCCCTCCCCCTGGGCCTGGAGAGGTCCTTCCGCGGGT